TGCTTGAAATTCTGATCTGTAAAAACTGTGAGATAATACATGTTTGTTTTAAGCTGCTAGAAAAAAATCAACCAAAACCACAACACAACAACGAACATTTCAGAAAGTCCTGCGTGTGCTGTAGAAAGCTGAATTAATGAAAATGTAGAGAGTGACTGGGTGGCGTCATGAATTTGGGTGGTCAAGGAAGCCCCTCTTGGGGTGACTTCTAAGCTGGAGTGTGAGGCCGAGGAAGGAGCCAGCCAGGAGGCCTGGGCAGGGGGAGCACTATGAGCAAAGGCAGCAGCCAGCCCCAGGACCTTGCAGCAAAGCCCTGTGTGTTCCGGGACAGAAAGGCAGATGGGGGGCTACACTGACCTGAGAGCAGCCAAGGTATGTTGGGGGGTTAGTGTGAACCTGCTGACATGGGGCTTCCATTAAGGACAGAATGTCTGGGTACTTAGGATTCATATGTTGAGATACTACCTCCCAAGGTGACAGAATCAGGAGGAGGGGATTTGGGAAGGTGACTGGGTCACAAGGGTGGTGTCCTCATGATTGGGATCAGCAGCCTCATGCAAGGGCCCCCAGAGCCCCCCGGCCCCTCCACCACATGAGGACGCAGCATGAAGGTGCCGGTCTGTGAATCAGAAAGCGGTTCTCACCAGACACTGAATGTGCCAGCGCACTGATCTTGGACTTCCCAGCCGCCAGAACAGAAAGAGATACATTTCTGTTGTTTCTAAGCCATCGGATCTCTGGTATTTTGTTACAGCGGCCCAAGCTGGCTAAGACCGCTTTTCCAAAAGGGTAAAGACTTTGGAATTTATTTTCACTTTGACTAGAAGCCTTTGGAGCACCGGTGGCAGGTAAGTGACATATCTAACTTAGTGTTTTAAAAAAAAATATGTGAACTCTGTGCAGGACTGATTGCTGAGTGCCAGAGTGAAGTCACGGCATCCAGATAGGAGGCTCTAGGATTAGCAAAAAGCTCATGGAGGCTTAGACCTGGGTGGTGGTGGAGAGGACGATGTCCTCGAGGAGGGTGTGAGAGGCGGTGCGGCGGGGGTGGGGCGTGGGCTGGACATTCACATGCACCTCGTGGCTCTGGGTCCTGCGGTGGCTCTGAGGGTGCCCAGTGGGTGAATGACAAGCAGCTAGAACAGTCCCATGCCCCCCCACTGTGCTGTCTTCTCTCTGTGTCATCTTGTTCCTGTGATTCTGAATACCACCGATGATTCATCAAGACACTTGTCTCTGGCAGTTGCTTGCACCCAGTTGGTGCTGTGCCATTCTGGGCTAGCTTCTCTCCCAGAGGCCCTGGCAAAGGGGACACTGGATCCCACCCACCACCCCCAGCCCCCTGGCCCGACTAAGCTGCCCTTCTTAATTAATTGCCCCCTCTGCACTGAGTGTTAATTAAACAATTTGTTGCTAGTCATTTCACAAGGTGCAGGGTACCCTCTCTTTAACCAGGAGCTAGTTAAATCTGGAACAGAGTAGGGCCCAGTGTGGGCCATCCTCCTTCACAAAGGAACAGAGGAGAGGCTGGTGATAGAATTCTGGGTTGTTTGTTTGTTTGGCCCTGGTAGTTTTAACTACTATCAAGTGAAATTCCATCTTTGGACTCTTGACTCCAAATTCACCTTTTTCATTCTTGCTGACCTGTCTCCTTCTGCCTGTTCACCACGCCCCTGCCTGGCCAGCTCGGCCCAACTGCTGCCGTTGGTCCCCAGCAGCTGCTGCTGTCACTCAGTCTAATCCTTGGGGCACCCGCCTGTGCTCAGTACAGATGCCTGGAATGCCAATCTGGGGGAAAGCTAGGGCTGTGAGACCTTTTCCGGTCTCACTTGGCCACAGTTACCTGTAGTCTGAGTGACTGATTGTTTGGCCATATGCATGAGGTGGCTGTCACTGGTAGCGGACTCTCCAAGCACTTCAGTGGTCTAACCCTAGCAGGTGAACTCCCAGGGGCCAGGGACGGGTCAGGCTTTGGGAAAGGTTGGTGCTGAAAGGGCTCTTTTTGACACACAGGGTTCTATAGGTCAAAGCATCTTTTGGGGTTGACACCCGGGCCTCTCCGGTGGCTCCATCCATTGAGCAGAGATCGGGGAAGGACAGCTTCTGCTCTGGAATTGGCTCCCTCCCCAGCTCCTAACCAAGCCAAATTCGTGGGGTCAGCAGATGGCAGCTGCCCTGGGCATCTGGACCCTCGTGGCTGTGTCTGGCCTGGCTGGGAAGGGCACTGCCTTGAGGCAGAAGAGAGGGTTCTCCACCCTCTGGAGCTTCAACCCCCTGCAAAAAGATGACTGTTCAAGGGACCAGCTCTTGGTGGCTTTGTCCTTGCTCTCCCCTGTTGGAGCCCGATGGTGCCCATGAGGTGTGTGGACACCACTTCTCTCCCCAGCCTCTTCTGGGAGGGAACAGCTCTGCTTACAGACACAGATAACGAGGCTCAGGGTTGGAGGGAATGGATTAACTCCAACCAGGGCAGCGTCCCCATCAGCAAGAAACAGCTCTTAGGACAGCGACTTCTCCAAAGCGCTTCTCGATGCTAACATTTTATCACGAGCTATGATTTCGCCGTAATAAAAAATATATATAAGTGCATGTCCCATAAAGCAGATTTCGCCCAGCCCCTCAATAACCAGGACTCGGGTAGGTCTCCCAGGAATAACCGAAGCCCTGTTACGGCACTTGCGTATCTCTTGCCTCATGAGGCTTTGAGAAACAGTCACAGAGGCACAGGAGTGGAGGGAAGAAAGAAAACAAATAATGAAAGGTCCTGGCCAATCGGTCCATCCCTAGAAGCATAACATTTTATAAATGGAGACAGCTTTAAAGTTCAACTATTCTTCAGGCTCTCACCCCTGAGTGCACATGAGGATCACCCCAGAAGTCCTGCTCGGATTGCTATGCAGTGAGGGCCCAGCCTGGCATCAGTATTTTTAAGAGCTTTTTAGTGACTGAAATGTGCAGTGACTGAGAAGCACTAGGCACAAGGTGAGCCGTGCGCTCACTCGTCCACTCTGAGGGAGGTGCCTCTGGCTCCTCATCAGTCTGCGCTTTCAGACTATCTCCCCCAGAGCCCCGGGCTTGCTGGTTGTGGGTAGGGTTCCAGGCGGCCCTCCCTCTGCCCCTCGCTGTCTTGCCCCCTCCCCACATCATCCTATGAGAGTTCTCATCCGTGGTTTCAGGTGAGCACGAAGCACCCCTGACCCCACCATGGTCACAGCCATTGGCCCAGCCATCGTCACTCAGCTCTGGCCCGTTTACTACCTGACCAACGGTGTGTGATCTGGCCAGAGAGGATAATGGACCAATCGCATCATTTCTCTCTCTCTCTCTCCCTCTCTCTCTCTCACTGGAAGCTGACTTGAGCCACAGGGAAGGATGTTGTCAGAGTCCTGGGGACCAGGCACACAGGGCAGGTTGTGAGCTGTGCGCCTGGCCTGGAGAAGGGGCAGTGCGTGCTGGGGGCCGCAAACACCTCAGAAGGGTGGGGAAGAAAGAGTGTCGGCTTCGAGAGCTTCAGGATTCCTGCTCTGCCTGCAGCCTGTTTGCTCAGCTTTTCACCAATTCCTGGGAGACCTTTCTAGAGCCTTAGAAAAGCTCCATTTTACTGGAGCCTATCTTTGTATAACCAAAAGCATCTTAGAGAGAACACTCACTACCAACAGAGCCACTCTGCTTTTCTTTTTACATTTCAGGGTCCATGGGAGATTCTGACTAGAAGGTGGACACAAGAAGGTCTCCACTGTGGCTAAAACAGAGTGAGGAGGTCAGGGGCTGAGCCCGACCCCTGCTTCACTGAGGACACGAGACATGGAAGAGGGACGGGCAGGTCTTGTGGGCCTATCTCCAGGGGAGACCAGAAAAAGGGGTGTGGGGACTGCTAGAGAGGCCCCTCCCTCTCTCCCTCATGACTGCAGGCACGGGACGTCAGACTCTGGGGGCGGAGGGTTCCGTCAGCCTGGGGCGCCCTGGAGAGCCCTGTCTTGTCTTTGGCACAGAATGGCTGTGCTTCCGTGGTAAAAGGGCCAACGGTCAGGCCCCACAACAAATCCTGCAATTCTCCCCCTCTCCCACCCAGACATCTCTCCATGCACCCAAGGGATGGCCGCAACCTTTCCCTGGGTTGATCTACCCCTTCAACTCCCATCTCTACTCAGAAGCCCGGAGTCAGGCCCTATACAAAGGGGACCTGAGCAGGCCAGAAGCATGTGGTACCTAAAGTCTAGCTGACACTGTTTCCATATGTAGGACTCATTTTCCTTCCTTCCCATAAATACGTCTCATTCCTGCTATTCGAGCCCAGCTCCCCCTCCACCCAGCTCCACGCAGTACATCAGCCCACTTCTTGTGGAAGAGACTGTGAGGAGCGTACCCGATGGCTAGCCTCAGGTCTGGACTGAGATGTCAGGGAAGAGAGGCGCATGCAGAGGGTGGGTCACCTTTGCTTTGCGTGGACTGGAACCTATTCTGCATAGCCATACAGTTGTCTGTACCTATAATCCTTTATAAGGACACTGGATCAGTTCAGTGGCCATGACACTAGCAGAGAGTAAGGGAGACAGATATGACAAAGGTCTAGCCAGGTCCTACCACCCTTAGAGTGCCCTATTTGGAAATGGTAGCAGAATTTAGGACTCAAAAATCAAAGGTGGGGATAGGCTTTTAAACAGAAAACTACCCAGATAGCACCTGCTTCCCACCCCAAAGTCCAATACCTGTATAAAATGCCTGAGCATTTTCTGAGTTCATGGTCGCCCCTGGTCTGATACCTCTCTTTCAGTGCCATCGCCACACAGTCTCCCACACTAGGCATTCAGCCCTCCGAGAGTTGAGGACCAGATCTTATTAGCCTTTGCATCCCCAGAAGTTTGCCCAGCGGCGGATGGCAAAGAGGAACTCAAAGCACGTTCGATGAATGAATGCATGAGTGTTCCCTTGCCATTCTCCAAGAATCCCAGGAGCCAGGACCTTGGCTCCCCAATAGCCCCCCAAGCCCGAGGCCTTACCTCCCATGAGGAAGAGAAGCCCTGCTACATACTGCATAAGGCCCCGGTCCCAGCAGCAGCCCAGCACACCGATGATCCAGCCGAAGAGGATGATGGCCACCGCCATGCCCATGAAGCCGGCAGTCATCCTGCGCAGGTCTGTGGGGAAGCAAGTGGGCAACAGTTAGCATCGAAACCTAGAACTCGGGGTCAAGATGCACCCCGGCCCCAGGTAGAAAGGGAGAGGGTGGCACACTGCAGGGGTGGGAAGGCAACATACCCTTTCCAGACAAGTTTGCACAACTGAGCTTCTTTTGTATAGGAGAGGGGGCGCCTGGAGGAGACCATCCTCAGGTGTCAGGACGGTTTGGCTCACAGGCACAGGAGAGACTGCCATCACGATTGGTGTCATCTCTTATGCACCTTTGTGCCAGGTGCAGCAATGTCCTTCCCAAGCAGCAGGCTCAACCATCTGCAACAGGAGCTGCCTTTATCCTTACTGTTGAAAGCCATACAGCTAATGAGCAGCAGAACAGGGCATCAAGCCCAGACCTGGATGGCTCCTAGGTGCTAACCATGGCATCATCCACCTCTCAGGGAGAAACGGGCCTTCAGCGGTGGGCGGGGTCTTGGCAGCCAGGCTGCACCTGCCGAGTGCCCGCTCCCTTCCCGCTCCCTTCCCGCCAGGGCTGACTGGGCTCTCCAGGAGGTCTGGTGCGAGGAGGAAGCTGATGAGGGTGCCCAGTCCCTTCCCCTCTAAGGCAGCTGGCGGGGACTCAGCGTTCCCTGCACTTGGGGCTGCAGGACCGAGAGCCGCACTTCCTGCTCTCAGACCGAGCCCCTGAGCAGGCCTCCTCAGCTCCTGCGGACCCCAGGTCAGCCCAGCTTTCTGGGTCCGGACTTCCCCCGTTCCATGCCTCGCTGACCCCATCACGCAATGCAGATGTGGGTACAGACAGAAGGGCTGTCTGGAAAGGCAGGATTGTTAGTGGAAGGGAGGGGGCAGAGATGCCATCACGTGTCAGCCTCTAGCTTAGGGCGGCTTCCTCCTGGCTCCTGGCTGGCTCCACTGCCCTCCAGGCATCCCCACGAGTCTCACACTCCCTCCCTGGTGTCCAGCCTTCTTACCTCCTCCTGGGCGACACCCTCGCTTAGTCCTGGACTCCCTCTACCCTGCCCAGCCTGCCTGCCGCTCCCCTTCCCCCTCTGCGGTTTGTACGAAGCTCATCTGCCAGCCCCGGCCCCAGCCCCACCAATGGGGCTCCAAACTCCAAACAGGAGCAAGCCATCTGCCCAGCCTCTGTACCCAGGGGCTTTCCAGGAAGGCTGCATGGACACTCCTCTCTCTCAGAGGGAGGGAGGGAGACAGAGGGTAGAGGTGAGGGCACCTGACAGCTAACTACATCCACACCCACGGAAGCATGGGGTTATCTCGCCTCATCCCTACAAATACCTGGCAGGTTTCCACTCATGGCGAGGGCACTCCACCCGCTCTGTTCCTCTCTCCCTCTAGTCACCCCCATCGGGAGCCACGGCAGATCCTAGCACAGTCAGGCTAGAGAACCCCTGGCCTTCTCCCCATGGAAGAGGGATTTGGTCCACACTCTCTGACCTGACACTGAGGAGACCCTGGCAGCCCCCGCCCAGGAGGAGCTGGCTGGGGGGGGGGGGGGGGGGAGGGAGGGGCAAAGGAAAGCAGCTCGCACAGAAGGCAGGACAGGACCCTGTCGCAGAGGCAGAAATCCACCACGGGTCGCGCTCCTGCGCTCCCTGACCTCCTCTGTCCTCCCCTGCCGGACCTGGAATGCCTGCTCCACCGGGTAGAAGCAATACCCTTTACTGTCACGTATGGCCTCATCATCATGCCACGCTACAGATGGCTCCGATCATCAACGGTGTCCGTGGAAACTTTACGGAGGGCATCGCTGGATCACGGCACTCAGATGTGCACCCCACTTCCCGAGCCGGCTCCCCACTTTCGTGCTCAGGCATCCACAGCCACCTTGAGGTGAGCAGGCAGAGTTTGGCCAGGTGCACAGCACCACTTCTTATCCTGCGATCTAACTGTGCCACCTGTCTCTACCCTTCTTCCCCAGACGCCACCCCAGTCCCTCGAGTGAGCCAGGCCTGAGCTGCCTCCTGGGTGGAGATGAGCACCCCCTTGACATGTGAGTCCATTTGGACTGACTCCCAGAAATGCTGCATCTACTCCCCACTGCAGTCAACGGCAAGGAGGCAGTGGGAGCGGGGAAGGAGAGCTCAGGGTATTTTTGGAGAAAAGTAGGTTTACACCCCCCTTCATCAGATCAGGAAATTTTTCTCTATGCTCCTGTGAAACCACTGGGTCCCTTTCCAGTGCATGAAGGGCTTCTGAAATCTTGGCTCCTTTGGCAGCACTAGACATGGACAGCACTGCTGTAGCTACCTGGCCCCTCCCGCTGCACTTGGCCTTGCTCATGGGGCGGCCTTACTGAGGCTCAGCCCCTGCAGATCCGCGGGAGCAAAGGTACTGCCTGGGGTCGGAATGGACAGTGTGTCCAGTAATGCGGGTCCCCCTGGGCCAGGAATGGAAAACTGGGCTGGGCGGGAAAAGGAAATGCAAATCAGAGAAGGAGGGAAGGCTATCATAGTTGGAGGAGGAAAGCAAAGTGTTTAACTTACAGGAGAAGGCAGAGGGCAGGGCATGGGAAAACAATTTCTCTTGCAAAAGTCTGGAGCCAGGTAACATCTTGTCCCACGTCCGGGAGGGGCCTTGGCCCTCTAGCACGGATTAGGTGCACCTTATCAGCAAAAGCTGAGGGCTGTGCTAAGTTGCTGGTCTGGAAAAGCAGGATGAAGACCAGAGGTGGGGCCTGAGCATTTTCACTGACCGGGAGGATTTTTATCATCACCCCACAAGTCTGATTTTGCCAGAGCCGTGTGCGTGTGTTTAGTTATTTCGTTCTCAGACCCCTGTGGTAATTCAGGGCAGCTGCATCAACAACTTGCAAATACAGGACAAGAAATAGTCTTATTTTACAGACAAGGAAAGCAAGATCCAAAGAAGTTTATTTATTTTGAGAGAGAGGGTGAGTGGGGGAGGGACAAAGAGAGAGGGGAAGAGAGAATCCCAAGCAGGCTCCAAGCTGTCAGCATAGAGCCCCACATTGGGCTCGTTCCCACAAACTGTGAGATCATGTCCCGAGCCAAAATCAAGAGTCGGATGCTCAACCTACTGAGCCACCCAGGTGCCCCTAAAGAAGTTAAACAATTTATTGACAAACCAGTGAAGTAAAGGAAGAGTGAACTGTGTGGGAAAAGAAAATTAATAATGCAGTTAAAGACCGTTGGGGCTGTCCTGATGATGGAACAAACATATGGAGCATTTCTTCCTCCCAAGTAAAGTGAGGACTGTAGGTCTGGAATTTTTCTTTTTCCCCAAAGATAAGAATCTACAAGGATGGGAAAAGAGGAAAGGAGACAGCAACAACACAAGACTGGAAGCAGCAAAGATGGCGGATGGTGCACTCGGCTAGAGCCAAACTAGAGGCAGCAGCACTGAAGCTGAAAGCCAACCTGTGGAGTTCCCCAAAGTCTTGTGGCCTGGCACCCACAGGTTCCTGTGGATCGGACAGTTAGTCAGGGGAGGAACATAAATAAAACCAGGATTTGGTGGAAGTTGTTTGAAATGGAACTAGGGCCCTAGCTCCCATCACCCACTCCGCAACACTAGGGGACCCCCCCTCTTCCCTTCCCTTTCACTGAAATGGGGGTACTTAGCACCGGTGGTTGACAAGCCCAGTGAAGGTCATTCTACATAGGCAATGAAGTGATCATTCGCATGTAGAATATTGAGTCCTTGCCCTTAAGATGCAAGCCTCCTACTCGGCTCCCGAAAGCTGACTGCCTGGCCTCTGCCATCCAGCCTGGGGGCTAGGAGATGTCTTTCCAGTGATGACCAGCACAAGAGAAAAGACTTAGACACTTAGCACTGGAGGAGCCCCACAGGCAGCCCCTCCCACCACTCTACACAGGAGCTTCCGGTTGACAAGCCCCCCCCCCTCCCCCCCGAACTCGGTGCTTTCAGGCAGCGCTTTGACTCCGCCACCTATCAACCCAGCACCACCGCTTACATAGAACTTGGGAGCAAGAGAACGTTAGGAAACAAGCTGCACAGAGAAGAGGCAATCATTCAAAATTATTATTAATATTCCCAGCGAGGCAAGACATGAAACGTATTTTGTCCTTGAACTAAGGAGTCCATTGAAAAGAACTAGCTGAGAACACAACTAACACCTTAAAATAATGGAAACAAAGTCACTGAAATTTTTATTACAAAATCAATTCTAACTTATGTATTACCAATCCTGTCATGTTCCTAAAAAAGATTCAAGGGCTTACAAAAAACACACAGTGCAACCAGGATAAAAATAATTAATGAGAAAATAAAGGAAACAGAAAATAAAGAAAAGGACGATGAAGCCAGGTATCACATGCGTATGTAAAATTTGGTCCATGAGGTCCTTCGGAAGGGACTTATACTCGCAGTACCACGATTTAAAGGCAATACTTATGATTTCCATTGTTTTTAATTATTGTTGCTTTCTTTTTGCACTGAGTAAATCCCAAGGGCCACTCTGCCTGCCCTTGTGTGAACGGCCACGTGTGAACGGCCCCTTCCTGCCCTTCTGCATTACCCTATGTGACAATTTTATCTCCTGGGGAGTAAGAGACTGTCTCCCCCACCCCCCCATTTTTTAAATGTTTATTTTTGAGAGAGAGACACACATAGAATCCGAAGCAGGCTCCAGGCTCTGAGCCGTCAGCACAGAGCCTGACATGGGGCTTGAACCCACGAACTGGGAGATCATGACCTGAGCCGAAGTCGGACTCTTAAGCAATTGGGCCACCCAGGCACCGCAGAAACTGTCTTTTATTCTCCGTGACTGCTCACTGTCTCACAAGCAGTACCCTGCACCCAGGGTACTGGTACTTTCTTTAGAAAAGAAAGAAAACAGGACACACCTCACTCAGGTATGTGAAGCCTTATTAAAATATTATGCGGGGTTGGCCTGAGAATAAATCCCCTTAAAGAACCTGGGACGATGAGTTGGACTCTGCCTGCCAAAGCGAAGATAAAGAAAAACCATCTCATGAATCCTGTTGGGTTTGAGCCCATC